TGCCTTATTAGTTATAAGCGATTGAATTATTCCCAAATTTTATTTATTTTGTTATATAATACAATAAAAGTGATTTTAGACTATTTTGGTGTATTTTGAAACTATACCATGCACTGTCAGAATAATCTATGGGATGCGTTCAGTTGACATTTTCCTTCTTTTTTTTTCTAATTTGCTCCTATAGAAACTCTTTACGATAAAAATCACCTTTGTTCTATCTAATTCGTATACTTACAAAATTGAGGACAATTAAATGAAAATTGTCCCATCCGTACTCAATCTCTCATAATGTTAATTTACATGTTCGTTGAACAACTTAGAGTTAGTTTAATATTAACATGATGTTAAATAACTACTTCTAAATTTAGCTGACTTAATGTTTAATAAATAACATTAAAATTACTAAAATAATATTCTAATGAGTAAGCATCTATATTTCATGTGTTCAAAACAGCCTTCATCAGCCTATCATCAATTTCTGTTGTTTAGTTTGTCGCCCATTATTTGTAAACTTCATCTCTCTTTCTCTCCCTCTCTCTATCTATTTCTTTTTCCTTATTTTCTCTCGCCGTACTTTGGGGAAACCTTAGCGGCTCATTAAATTTCCTAACACATGTAATTTAACATTTAAATAAAGGGCCCGATAACCAGGTTTCCACAGTACAAGTAAATTCGGCATTCGTGCGATGAAATTGCAACAGAATACTCACATTGGAACCAACAATATGACCCAAAATGAGGTATATTTTTATTATTTTTTTTTTTAACAATTTCATTTTTGAAAACAATGGTAATGAGATGTCCGCTACTGGATAGCCGTTCTCACCAAACAGGGCTCCAGTATTTTATATGTATGTACAGTGGGCATATTATATATAACATTATTGCTAAAATTTTTGAACCTGGATTTACATAAAGTGTATTTAATTTGTAATATTGCTCACACCTCTTAACACTTTTGCTAGGAATATTAAGAACCAGTTCGACTGTTCCGTTAATACTTACAGGTTAAATATCACTCGCAATGAGGTTCTTTATAAAGCAAATCTTCTTTGCATATAACATATCTTGAAGGCATATAACATATCAGGAGTCACAACGAGTTCGTTTAAGGATCGAGGAGGCCACTTTATCAACGAATGTTCCCCGGGCGGAGCTAGTCGGGATTTTGTGTATAGCGGGAAATCGAATATAATATGTTTCATATCTTCCACGCCACCGCAACAACAATGTGAGTCTTCCCTGCTGCGAAAGAAACTCATATTCGCATTTATGTTAACATAGGCCGCAAGCAGCTGCAGAGTCCCGAAATCTGTTTCGAACCATTCTTCATCCTTGTTTGTTCATATGGTAAGAACTCGTGGATCGCCTTTACCATTACGAAAGGACAACATCCAATAGGAATTCAGTCAGCTATTTCCTTGTACTTTCTACTGGGGAATGGAAAGAAGCTTCTATCATAAAGTTTTTCAATTTGCATTCTTCCTATTGGTAAAAAAAATTATATTTAATGTATAATTTTCTAAATTCGTTTTAGGTATACTCTTTGATTTCAGTAGCCAATTGACACTATACGATCAAAATTTTATTAGTTTCTATTATTTCAGTTGCACTTCTAAGGCTTTTAAAGTAAACTATTCTAATATTATTCCACTGGCTTTAGCACCAGTTACGTGGTTAAGAGAGTAGCGCAGGGATCTCTTATAGTCCTGCTTTTCCTTCTGTAGTTGGATGAAGAAGCGTGGCTTTGGGTACCTGCCTGATTGAATATATTTTATATAGGTATATGTTTATAATTTACTTATCTATAGGTTATTTTATTTTTTATTGTACATAGGTTTTTTTTATTATCATTTAGTTATTATTTTACTTTTGTTAATTTTATATTTTCTGTATATATGGTGCGAATCTGTTCATTTATCAATATAGTTATTGTCCACGAGACAGAATATTATATATCTAAATAAATAAATAAAAAAAAAATCATTGTTTTTCCTTTCATTCTTACTAATATGTCCCCCGTTAAAAGTATAATAATAACCCCATACGAATAAAAGGAAACGAAATAGAAATAAGTCTCTGATACTGGAAGAAATTGAAAACAAAAACCTGGACCATTTAAGTCATTAGTTACGATGGTGATAAATTTTAACAAGGGATGGCCGACTGTAGATGCCACCAATTTATTGTTGCGTTCTCTGTGATGATTGGTGATCTTTTTCTATCGGACCTATCTTCTCGGTCATTTAATTGCTGGTCCTACTTATAATATATTATCCTATACCTGGTAAATATAATGTACTTCTACTTTTAACTAGAAAAAAATTTCAATACTGTAAAAATAACCATCAGCCCGCTAAATAATAACTATCCCTACTAGAAGATTTAAGGAATGAAGGAATTTAGTGCAATTGCAATTAAATGTATTCATTATGAAGTTGTAGTTAAATAATGAATGAGTTTCTCTATTGCAGTAGTGGGTGCAATGGATACTGGACCATCCAGCTGTAGTGAGGTCTAATTATGTGTAGTGTGAGCTTATTGGATGTAGTCCTCATCACAGCAGGATCACGTGATTAAGCTAAAGCATTGTGATTCCATCACTATATTTGATATCATGGATTTGATTTTTATTGGTACTACAAACCTTTATAAAAAAATAACAAAACTTGCGGTACTTCATATTATGAAAAATATACAATATATTGAAATTAAATTAGTTTTTATTTTAAAACTTTTATTGGAATAATAATAATACAAACAGCCTCAATCAAGGGCATTGGGTATTAAGGTTCTATGTGTACATTCATACTTTTGTATATAAAATTGAGAAAAAAGAAATAAGAGAAAATATTTAAGTAAAAAAAATATAAAATAAAAAAAACGAAAATATAAAATACTTGTAAAAAGAAAAAAAGGGACAATAAAAACGAAAAAAATACTTGTCACACATTCATTCCTATATACAATATTTACATTTAGGCTGGGAACCCTGAGCCATGCCTTGTCACTCTCATGTGAAAGGCAAAGCAGGCAGGGTTCAAAGAGATCCCAACGCTTTTCTTCCAGCCGCTTGAAAGTTAGTGGAGGTTGAGTGAGAGCACTAAAGCCACATACATATTGTCTTTTTTATCAATTTTAATTCATATGTTTGTCCGTAAGTATTTAAATTTATGGAATACAGCATATTCCATGCTACCGTTAAAAACCTAGGTGTTACTTTTGATCAAACCCTCTCCTGGAAACCACACATCTCCCAAATTTCCCGTCACTCTATCTCTAACCTAGAACAGTTCAATCGCCTACGTTATCTCCTTCCATATAAGTCTCGTCAACTCCTAGTTTCCTCTCTTGTTTTCCCCCACTTCGACTATGGCTGTATAGTGTACGGTGGATTCTTGGGAGATCTCGAGGCCAAACTTAAACGCCCGATGAATTGTGCACTACGATTTGTTTTCGGAATCCCACGGGATACGCCTATTACCCAGTATTACACCGAGTTGAAGTGGCTCTACCCATCCTATCGCCGTCAGTACTTCTTAGCTACCTTTCTGTACCAGATCATTAGAACTCATCGACCCTCCTATATTTTCCATAGCTTACAATTTAAATACTCCATCCAATCCCGTTCTACTAGATCTCGCACTTATGACATCTTTCTTCCTCCTCACCGAACTGCTTTTGACCAATCATTTGCAATTCAAGCCACCTCCTTCTGTAATTCTATCGCCGCTGACATTTGACACGCACAATTAATTTCCTCTTTCCAACCTCTCCTCTTTAAACACCTACTCCTTTCTCAATCCGCCTGATTACGAAATATATCTATAGTTTTCATTTCATTTCATATTGATATGAGAAACATAATTTGTTTACTCCTTGATGCTATGTTTTTTTTCTCTAAACACGAGATCCAAGCCAACAAATCTGTATATTCCTTCACATAGAACTGCTTTCTTTAAAAAATCCTTTAGGCATGTTACCTTACTATTTTTTGGAATTTGTATAACTACCTCCCTACGCAAACCTCATTTTGAACTTTATATAAACACTAATTATGTTTCCATCTCCTGAACAATGGATCTTGCATGTCGATGCAACAAGCATTGCGTTTTCAGACTCATTTTACTGTAATTTCTTAGTTATCTATATTGCTTGTTTTGGCTAATATGTAAACATACTGATATTTATGTATCTATAAATTCATGCAAGATGTAGTGCTACGCTATCTATTCCTGCAGCTATTCCAAGTTTGATATGTGGCACTGCATCCTCCACCTCTTCTTGGATTGTGTCATTCATATCCTAAGGCTGTATATGCACTGTCCTCGGGCGGTTTCTTCTATCCACTAACTGGTCACTTCTGTACTCCTCCAATTGAGAATTTTGTCTCATTGTGTTTCCGCCATACCTCCAGAATCTCCTCTGCCGTTATAAGCTGAACTTGATTATATCACAGTCCAGAACTACCGAATATTCTCCTGGTAATATTTCTCAATATTCCTCCAAATATTTCCTTAATCTCCTTTCCGAAATCCTCCCAGGCTTTACTCCGAGTATGCTCACGTATGCTTCCACGTCCTCAGGTGATTTAGATCTCTTGCAAGCCGCCCAAGCTATTTTATTCTCTCATTCTTAGGACTAGTTTTCCTTTAGAACAAATTATAAATAAACATGTCAACGTATTTATAACTTAAATTAAATATTTACAAAATAATTTGTATTATGAAATAAAAATACATGTAATAGAAATAAATAAAACAAGCATACATTAATATAAAATAAACAAAGAAAGATTAAATAAACAAAATATTATCTGAGGGTATTTAGAGATTCTTGTGATTTAAACTCTTACGAGGATCTAAAAGAGAAAACTGACTTTGCGTGTCGAATATGGTGAGGGATAGAATTATAGTGAAATAGAATAGTAGTGGTAGGAAAGTAAAAAAAAAAATATTAAAGTATTATTCATAACCATGAAAACTTTATTTCTGTTACAGGCTAAAGACTCCTACTTCCGTGGCCCGTACGAAGAAGAAACCCGCGATGGACTGGTTCGAACGACGCTAGGCTTAGAGTTCAGGATCGAACGCAGGCATTTTCGAAAAGGAGACCTGAAGCTGAAGTGCCTGGCCAGCATCGGGACGGTTTATTGGAACTCGAACGAAGAGAGCGTAGAGGGAGAGCGGCCGCAGAGACCGCCAGCACTGGAAGTCAAGGACACCAAGCCCCCCACCTCGAGGGCTGACAGGGTATTAGGTCAGTATTATTTCAATACATCATTTGTTGATTGAAAGGTTAATATATGTGCTTCGGAAAATGAAGGACAACAAGTCCATTTTTGACTAAATAATTTATAAACTAAGAAACAAATGTTATTAACTCAAATAAAAGGAAAACTTGCTCCCAGAAGAAATAAAAATATGTGACATGGTGTTCTTCACCTCCAGAGTACAACAGATGTGGTAAAAAAGAAACAGATCTGAATAGCTCAAAGCTATGAAACATTGCCTCCCATAAACAAATACAAAAATAGACATTGTTTACCTTCGGTATAGGTATAAATATATTAAGTTAAATAAAAATAATGAAGAGAAGGATAGTAGGGTTGATCAGTCAAAACAAAAATGAGAAAAATAAATAATAATATTTATTTTAACAATTGCCGACGTTTCGACCCGAAGTTCAGGCCTTCATCAGGGCTGATCACTATTGATCGCTATACAAATAAAAATAGATATTTAACTGGTTATTTTTACCAGTCAACAAAAAAAAAAAAAGTCACGAGAGTTTTCATTTTGTACTAACATTTTGAGTGATGATTAAGATAATTGACATAATCATATAAAATAAATTATAATATCGCTTATTAATTATAATAAAAAATAACTTTATATATATTTATGTGCTAGATTTTTTTTTATAATAGTCTATCAAATTCACTAGATAAATTTCATATCTTTATTTTTATTTTTGAGACATTTGGATGAACTCTAATCCGATTCTTCAAATATGCCGCGGGAAATATTCACTTAAAAATGGAGAAATGCAATAAAATCCTAGGGTATGTTGCTGGATATATTTATTTTTTAATATAAATTAAATTTTTAATAATAGGAACAGAGGACGTCGTAAAATACTTTTGTTACCTAGTTCTAGGTCTTGACTTAACCATCTAATTGACTTTTCATATTTTCTTGATTGATTTAAGTTTACATATTTTATTCATTTTATTAATTTGGATCTTTCTAAAATTTATCATAGTAATATTGGAGGAAAGGGCAAAAAGATATCTTCCTTCCATCTCTATTTTTATTGAGAGGGAGGGACGATCGACAGCGTGAAGTCTGCTCATATGTCAATCATACGTCCATTCTTAATTTATTTAGGAACTATTTTTCAATTATTAGATATGTTCGATAAACAAAAAATTGTGGTAAGATGTTTACAATATTATCATTAGCTAGGAGTAGGTGACCTGAAATACGTTGGATAAGAGATCACCTAACTTACACAACCAAAGTAATTGAATCAAACCAGAGAATTGCAAATGGGTACTTTCCTTTACTTTCCTGATACGTCATTATTTCTTGTTTTGTCAGCTCATTCGGTGATTTTGAAAAAAAAAACAGTTGACATGTGCAAATTACCTAACATATAAAGAGAAAAAAAATAAAAATACATTTTGATCTTTTAACAAAGACTTGTTAACATAGATTATTTTTCTTAAAACTAATTCATAAAACATTCCAGCAATAATGATCTTCCTTCCTGAAGAAAAGCAATTTAAAGTTCTTATTTTTATCTTTTTGTCAAATGATGTTTTCATTCTAAACTTAACAACTTCGATTAGATTAGTCCAGAATAAATATTTTACAGATGGAGTAATAAAATTTTGCCGAAATTAAGTTAAATTTAACTTTATATTATGACAAAACAATTATATATTTATCTTTATTATATCGTAAGTAAAAAAAAAAAAATCGGTACCTGTTCCGTTTGGCTACTCCAAGGTAGCCGGTTTCTATATAACCCAGACACACTACCCCTAGATTCCAGAAACTCTTGATAATTATCAAGAGTTTATTACAATTATTATATCAATCATCAAGAGTTAATTACAATAGTTAAAATTACTCCCAATTTAAACTTTTACTCAATTATTTATAATAGTTGAAATACTAAAAGGATTATTACTTGTCGAAATCCGATCTTATATCAAAATTTTATCTATACCATATCGTTTAATTATGAGTATTTTCTCTGTGCCCCAGTTCAGTGAAGATTGGAATTCCAATTCGCTTGTAATCGTCTCATTTAAATTACGTATTTATCTTCAATACGTATTTTATTATCATAGATATTTCCTCCGTATCTATCAGTGGGATAATGGAGTTTTCAATTAAATTTTAATTACATTGTTAAGCCCTTTGTGTTCGAAGCAAACGAGCTATATCAACTTATTTTTTTCTCATAGGATATTTTCCTTATTTAATTTTTTTCGAACTCAGGTAGTAGTAAGTTATTTATATTTATGTGTACCGTATTATAACCTAACTTAAAAGGCACGTATAAGTAAAGGAAGGTTTGGGTTTGTAAACAGGATTTTCATTACTCGGCTGCTTTGGAGATTCATCGGGAATCTGGGTATAGCGTGCTCTAAATGATCTTAAGACCGACCGCAATCTCAAGGTGCGTTTAGACATTTCACAAACTATGGCAAATACATTTATCGGACTTAACTAACAGTGAAATTATTTATTAAAACTAAACCAAACTGTTTATTTTCATTCTCTCAAGCAGATAGAAAATATATATATGAAAAAAAATTAGTGAAATAACCACTTATGTATATGTTTGTCCTATAGTTTGTGAAGTGTCTAAACGCACCTTTAGAGCAGCGAAACAGAACTAATATCGAAATTTCAAATTATTGATTGATATTTCATTATTGATACATTCCATATTATTATTATTTTCATGTTGCAGATTCGAAATGGATCCTGACTATATTTCTCGGAATTCACGTGCTCATCGCCATGCCGCTCTTAGCAACCAGGTAGCGCTTTTAGATGGAGGTGAAATCATCCCCTCAAATTGAAAATTTTATTTAATGTATTTTTGTCCAGTTTTTTGCTCAATTGTGGCAAAGAGCTCTGCGTGTTGTCCTATTGATTTATTTCGACAATATCGGTGGAAAAAAAATACAATATTTATTACCAATGTTTTTATCAAAAAATATATCAAAAGTAAAAAAAAAAATTGTATTTTTGTTTGAAAAAAGGCTGTATTTAATGTTTACTTCTCATAAAGTTTTGCTGTAAAAATAATGTATATATTTGGTGTATCTAATGCCTTTTAACACTAAGATTATGAAATTCGTTTAAGGAAATTATCTAATGAATAAATATAATTTTTCACGAAAAAAGCTTTTTTCTTCATTAGTATTATATATAAGATATATACGTATAAATGTATTCATATGTGTTTATGACATTAAGAAAAAATATTTTTGATTATTAATTATTAAAACCGTTTATTTAATCTTATTACTTGTAAAATATTTATGTAAATAAAATAGAAATTATCGTAGAAGCGATTGGTTTTTTCATATATATATATATATATATATATATATATATATATATATATATATATATACACACATATAGCTGATGCAAAAAAAAATGTTAATTTTTGAAATAAATACAACTGAGATTAACATATTTTATTAAAATCAATTTATATTAATTCTGTAGTTCAACCGATTTCAAGTAATAGTCGAAAATACTGTGCACGTATGAAAATTCCAAAAAATATCATGCTCTGGCTTATGAATATTTTAAAAGGACGTTGGAAACAGCTTTTCCACTGCTTGACGATTGGTAGAGGAATATTAGCTATAGGAGGAGAAAAATGCGTTAAAAAGATATTTGCAAAAGTGATAAATAATTTTGGAAAAGTGGGAGGGAAATAATTTTGATAAATTTACATGAAGAAGCACATCAACTAAAGAGTATCATTTATTTCACCTATAAGAATTGTATTTTCTTTTATATTATTAATTTATTTATGTTTTAATTTAATATACAAGCATTATTATCACTTTAAAAAATCAATGTGTTTTTTTTAAGCTATGCTGTATATATATATATATATATATATATATATATATATATATATATATATATATATATATATATATATATATATATATATATATATTTACATTTATTTTAAGTGGGTTTATTACTTGTTACTTTGTTTCCCTAAAATCTGTAAACTCAAGAAATTCATAATGAAATTTCAACAAAATGGATTGTGGCTGAACTTATCCAGTTTGTTTTTCCTTGATATATCCTAATCAAAAGTGTAATTTATAAAGTGTAAATAAGTAATTTAAATAAATAATATGCATGCTTTGAAAATAGTATCAATAATACCTAAGATTTTCCACTTAGAGTAAACACTATAGAACTTACATGCCCTTGCCATATTTTTGTGATGTTCCTCATAGTTTCCTAATTAGTTGATTAAAATGTGGCAATTCGCCAATATTGTAAATAAACAAATAATTATGTATGTTATGTACTTCTTACAATATATAAACTATTTGTATAAGATTATATATATTTTTATTTCAATCGAACGTTATGTGTGGATTGTAATTTTTTTTTTTTTTGCACTGACTGTGAGTACTGAATAGAACTTTATCACTGTAGAAAGTTGGACTTACTTAAACATTAAGCTGGTAAGTGAAGAATTGATATCATTAAATGTTATTTAAGTTATTCAAATAAGACTAATATTAATTATGAAATGTAAATGTCATATCATTATTTTAAAAATAAATTTTTTTTTAAATTTTTTTTTATTTATGCATCTGAAATGATTCGTTCTTTCGCATATCGTCATGTAAATAAGGCAATGTTTTTTTAATCGATAAACTGGGATATCAATAACAACATTAACTTTTTTTATTTGTACAATTACAAAAAAAAATTATAACTTTTTATATACATTCAAGAAGACAAAACGAAAATGTAATATAAATATTATTTTTTAAGGTTCTACTAATTTAGTATACATACAAACATTTACATAGATTTTTTTTTTCTTCAATTTTTACAATAGTTCTTTGGTAACTTCGAAGTATAGGAAACGATGACATTTATCGATTATTCAACGGAAAAAATAATAACGACAACAATTCCAAAAATGTGAAAAGTTTTATTTACACTATGTACAGAACGTCAGTGGATACCCATCGCTGTGGAGTTACCTCACAGCTAAGATCGAGCATAGTAGGATCAGAAGGCTGGCCATGGCGGGACCTCGAGCAGCGCTTGAAGAAACTGAAAACATAATAATAAAATAAATTATAATTATATAATTATATACAACAGAAATTAAATATTTATTATAAAGGTACCAAAAAAAAAAATACAAATAAATAAATTCCACAACAGTAAATGCAGAGCTAAGAGAATCTGATGCTCCTAGTCTATTAGTTCGTTTCATACGAAATGTAAGTTTTTACAAGAAAAGTTATTTAGTAAAACAGCAAATCAAAATATTTACCACCCTCCGTCGTAAACCTATGACTTCCTGTCCTGCAGTATCCTTTAATAATACCCCACTAATACCTGTTGAACAAATCCGCTACCTAGGACTTCACTTGGATAAACGTCTTAATTGGAATCCTCATACCAGACTGAAACGACGAGAAACCCCTCGAATTTTCCGACTGCTACAACACTTACTGGACAAACGCTCTAAACTTTCAATTAATTACAAAAGACTCGTCTACATAACTATAATAACATCTAGAAGGACATACGGAGTTGAGCTTTGTGGAGGCATCAAACCATCGAATTCCTATCGTATCCAATCCTTACAATCCAAAATCCTTAATCCCCTCTATTTAGTCACAAATAAAACCATTCATAAAGTCCTTAATGTTCCATATGTCGCTGATTTAACCTGAGCCAGATATCTATCCTTCCATGATAAAATTTAGTCCCATCCGAATCCACTTGTTTTCAGCCTTTCTTCTTCTTCGATTTCTGATAATCCTTCGAGGTGTCTGAAAAGAAGATGTCCTCGTGATATTCTCAGCTAGAATTATTTAGGGAGTACTACCACTGGGTAATATCTCTTTAAGTCATTATTTCTAATTTGTGCGTATTTACTACTGGTTCTATTTGTAAATTTCATTAAATAAAAAAAAATTATTTACCCTAATTTTCTATACATAAACGCGTTAGCAACTTTTTCATCTCAGAAATGAAAATTTGATATTTTAGTGAAAAAATTAATTCAGGAAATGCGTTTTGACCTGAAAATCATTTTCAAAAAAATCATCTTTAAGGAACTTGTCCAAATTTCTGAACAAATGAAACTCAAATAGAGATAAATCGGGTGAATAAGGTTGATGTGGAAGGACTTAACAAACACAGCTCCTTTAGTTTCTTCACAGTCGATCGTGGAAGGTCTGGTGTTGAGTAATAATTTAGGTCCCTTTCAATTAACCAATGCATGCCATTTTTTGATACGTTTTTGATGCATTATCACTGCCATATCATCATATAATATCAAATGCATTCATGCCAATATCACTGCAGTACGATATGGACGTAATGGTTTCACCTCTTCCTGTCATTGATTACCACACACACACAACACCCTTCATCGGACGTCGTGGTAGTGTTTCTTGCAGCTACTGCTGTAGTGTCCAAGTTTAAACTCATAAAAAAATATTACTCGAAAATTCTGTGTTTCCATAGTCTTTTTCGATGGCACGCTAAACAACGTGCAATCAATAAGAATGATAGTAAATATTTTCAAAAAGAAAGGATTAATAAACGACTCATAATAACTAAACATAAACGTAGTAATAAATAAAACTCCACTAATATTGTCTCGGGCACCGTTCCACAAAACCCAGGCGTTTGCTCTTAAAATGGTCGATTTTCAGAATTCAATAAAACAGTGAACAACAATGACATGTAAACAAAAATAATAATAAAAAATAAATAAATAAAAAGTATTCTCAAATGCAAATCCATTATCAAAAGAATTATATAAAACTGTATTATAAATAGTAGTAATACATTGTGGTAAAACAAAATAAAATAAAAAACCGGCTTTATACAAACAAAAAATCACCCTCTTATTTTTAACACTAAATGGAATGCAGCAAACAGATTCCACACGAGTTGAACATTGTACGATGTAGATTATTCGTTATCAATTTAATTGAAGGATTATGTGGATACATTGATAAGCGCATTTTTATGGAAAATTAAATGACTGATAATAATAAAGGGACATAGAACGAAATTTGATAAAATGTACTATAAATCTAAGCGTAAATTACAAAAGAATATTTATTGTAAATTTCATCTAACTTCGCAGTTTATTACTTTCCCTCTTAAAGAATAAAATTCTTTCAGTGTCATTAAATGAAATTTCTTGTTGTAGGTTTCCTTCGATAATCTAGTAATCCACTTCAATGTCGAAGATTTCCATAACGTTTAAATAAATAGATACCTGAGAAGGGGATCTTAAAATACGTTGTATTCTTATTAAAAAAAAGCCCTACTCTAACCTAATACCCGGCCTCAACATCGTTGGTATCAGAAACAATAAGATAAATCGATACCTAAGCGCGAGATCTTAAAATCGATATTATATTGATACAATGTATAGTAATACAACTTGGATAACCATAATATTATTGTAGTATTTTATTTTCTGATTCCTAAAGTAAAAATCCTATAATATCTTTTATTTATTTATTTGAAAAATAAAATCCATGCCATGATTTATATTCACTTAGAGAGAAAAAAGCACAGTTTCGATCCACATTTAAAATAGAATGCCTCATCTAATTCTTCCCATGACATCCTGGCCGGAGGAGTTGATTGGTAAGAGCAGTGTTATATATACAACGAGGACAGCATAGCGTCCTTAATGACATGGGGCCACATTCTCATGCAGCCTTAGTCATCTCATGTTTGCTTCACTAATTCACTTAATTAACCGAGTAGATGGCGAACCGCTTCAACTGTTCCTCTCTGCCGCAATATTCGAAACTGTAATAATTATTATCGAGGTAGAGAATGATTTCTAAATATGAAACTTAATAATCAGAATTAAGAATGAAGAAAAAACATTATAATAGGGTATATAAAAAAAATGATCGTCTTATCAAATTCAAGATTTCAAAGGACTGTAAATATTTTAATCCTATATAATACATACCAATACTTAATAATCCCTTTAGGGCATTCTCTAAGCTAGTTTAATCCCATTCGACTTTTTCAAAAAAAAGACTCAGTTTAGTTATTTGTTTCAAAGAATAAACATGACAGTGTCCTACGAAATTCTCGTTAGTTTAAAGCATTGATGAAGAAAAAAACAGGCACTGAAGCAGCTCGTAAAATTATTAAATATGAAGGGGAAGGTGTCCTTGACCAGCGCACTGCGTGGCGTTGGTCTGAAAAATTTAGCAGTGGAGATACGACGTTGAAAAGGAAGAAGGGCTCCGGGCGACCATTAATGGATATTGATGAAGTTCTGCTGGAAGTTGTTGAGTCAAATCCGTCCACGAATATTAGCGAACTTGTCTGGGAATGTGTTGTGTCGAAAGATTCTGTTAGTCGCCATCTACTCTCCATGGGTGAAAAAGAGCTGTAGACTGGTCTCTCACAAACTTACTCCTCAGCAATCATCTAAGAGGTTAGAACTTTGTAAACATTTATTGAAAAACCCTTGCCTGAAAAACTTCTGCCCCATCAACCATATAGTCCAGACCTTGCACCATTAGATTACTTATTTAAATTCAAGGTCCATTTTCTTCAAGGGAAAAAATTTGATAATTTTGTGGAAGTTGAAATTGTGGTCTAAGAGTTCTTTGACGGCCATCCCAAAGAATGGTATCAGCGTGGGATCGAGCAATTGGCTAGCAGATGGCTAATGACGGTAGATAACAATGGAATATACTTTGAGTATTAATTGTATTTTATATCAAATAAATAATAATACAAATATTTGGTTCAAAAATGGTCATTTTTATTTACACCCTATTATTTGCCTTAAATTATACAGGTATTAAATACGAAGTATGCGAGACTATCTAATGTGCAGGGTGTTCTGTCACTACAGGGAAATAATTGAAGAGATGATTGCAGACCTCAAGTCGGTCACAAACAAATGACCGATTTTGCGAATAAAATTAGAACATTCAAGTTTTGAGTATTTCTTAACTTATTTACGGTTATCGATGATTAGGATGCGATGAATAAAAAATGTTTAATTTAAGTTATTTATTTATTGATTTATTTGAGTATTTCAACAACTGTGGTCATTTACACTGAAGTCTCTATAGTCTATTACAGTTATTTTAAATATTATTAAATATGTCGATGGTTTTAGAGGAAAGTATTTAAAGATATAATAGAAGACTTCAAGAGCTACAAAATCGTTTTTCATAAACAATGGCCGATGTTCCACAGAAAATTCGAGTTTTGATTATTTTTTAAGTTAGTCACGGTTTCGGACAGGTCAGAGAAGTTGGGTCCCTCTGCCGTAAATGCGGCAGAGAGTCTGAAACACCAGCACATGTGCTGGGAAAATGCCCCAACAACTCCCTCCTCATAACACGTCGTCACCACCGGGTCAAGTTCGAGTTGATGAGGCTCCTTAGGGAAAAAAAAATCACCTGCTTTGACGAGGTATATTGCATCGATAGTGAAGGCTCTACGAGATACGCTGATATCGTCGCATTTCCCAAGACAGGAAGGACAGGGCTGATCTTGGATCCAACTGTCCGCTTTGAGAGCAATGACCTCGATCAGGCGGGTGAAGTGGAAAGGGAAAAGAAGAATACGTACGATAAATGTATCCCTTTCCTAAAAGAGAAATTCCGTGAGACCTTCGGAGAGAGAGAGTTCACCGTGAGAGGCCTCTGATTTGGGTCTCGCGGAACTATCCCAAAAAGAACAAGGAGCTTCCTCGAGGAACTAGGTGTCGACATTAAGGACGTAGCGAGGTTGGCTGAAAATATAGTCCTCGACTCCCTGGGAATCATTCACCACCACGTGCATGGCTAGCCCGAGAGTTTTAATTTATGTATTTGTTTATTTATTTATTTAGTGAATAATTGAAAACAATAGCGATAAAGAGAGAGAAGTGAGAGAAAGGGAAACTTAATGTTAAAAAAAAAAAAAAAGCATGAACAATGAGAAGAAGGAAAAAGGAAAAAAAAAAAATTATAAAAATAAATAAAATAATAAAAATGTATATATATATTTCTATTTTACTAATATTAACTAATACTTCTGTATATTTATATATAAGTTCATATATTGTCTTAAGGATAGAAGAGTATGCTGTGTATATAGCAACCCAATATAATTGGGCAGCAATCCTTTATATTTTATATTTTATGAAAATAAAGTGTTTCTCTCTCAGATCAGGAAATTGACAATTAGCAATTTAAGAAATTAAATTATTATTGCTTCACAGAAAACTATGAAAAATAATTTCTTCAAACGAAAGTAGAGTTTGTCATTGTTAAAACTATTTAGAGAGGACTTTTGAGCAGATTTCTATAATGGAGATATTAATAAAAAAAATCAGTTTTAATATCAGTTCAGATGATAAATATTCTAATGATGTAGATATGGTTGACCGTGATATAATATGAGATGGAGTTGATCGGGGGGTGCGGTCAAATAAATACTAAATTATAGAGATAGTATTATTTAATTATTATGCCGACGTTTCGACCCACCTTGTAGGTCTTCATCAGGACTACAAAATATAAAAGGTACATGGTGAAAATAAAATAAATGAATGAATAAACGAACTTATAATTCATTTATTTTATTTTCACCGTTTACCTTTTATATGTTGTATCTTTTGTAGCCCTGATGAAGACCTACAATTTGGGTCGAAACGATGGCATAATTATTAAATAATACTATTTCTATAATTTAGTATTTATTTGACCGCACCTCTCGATCAACTCCATCTCATGATAAATATTCTAAAGAATCACTATTTTTTAAAATAATAATAAGTGTATTTATCGCTTGATGTTTATTATAATACACCCCAGGTTATGAAAAAAAAATTAAAGCTTTACAATAATTTATTGTCGTCATTTAAAAAAAAAAAACACGGTTTCTTTTAGGTTACAGCATGTCAAATCATCTAATTTTTTTTTACATATCTTGAGAAGAATCTCATGTTATTTAGAAATAAATCACAACGTAATTAATATGTAATTACATTCCGAAAGAACAGTGATTAATGTTGCCATGGAACTTTATTCCGAAGAGTTAAAGAAAAAGCATGTTTATAAGTTATCTGCACATAATAGATACTTGGAATTTATAATACTTTATAGCGTTTGGTAGTTCATTTATATAAATGGGAAATAATGATAGATATAATATAACACTATTATATTATATGAGATCAATCCTCCTCTTCCCGAAGGGGAAATATTTAAAGGAAGGCCTTAGATAGTGAAAGTTGGTAGAACATCATAAATAATATATAGGTCAAGAAATAAGTTTGTGAAAAGGTCCATAATAAAAAATATATATATATATTATCACAGAGAGAAATCTCAAGTTATTGAAGTTTATATAATTGAAAAACAAGTCCATGGTGAGAAGAGGTAACGTTACACAAAGAGTAGTCCTCAAAGATGAATAAATAGTAAAAGAAACACAATATTTCGAATTGAAAAACACTCTCCATCTAAAAGATAAGAAAAAAAATGTATATATACAAATATACAAAAGGTCCCGATTCAGAGGGATTCACAGTTTACAAGATGTAAATTTAGTCCAGCTGTTCCCATCATTTTCTATTCAGAAAGAAATATCTCTTTTTACACAGATAAATTCTTGCCGAGGCCAAATCGATGCCCCCCCCCCTCCACGGGCAGCAATGTGGAGGGCAAATAATTACATTCTTCCCGCCAGCCGGCAGAATTGCTAATCGGAATTATGATTCGTTGAGGAATTTTTTTTTCTTTGTTTGCTATTTACATTTTCAGAATACGTCAGCCGATTACATTCCAGGTCTCTTAAGAATACATATTCCGTTTTAACGAAATATAACACGTATAGATCATCGGTTTTTCACTAAAAGATGTCTGTGTAAAAGTACCCAAGAAAACATGGTTTATAAGAAAACAGATATATCCATTAAAAAAGTAATTTTTCCCTCCTGAAACACGATGTATAAGGGATATTTTAAAAAGATAGTTTGTTTACTTATATATACCCTCAGACACATACAGACACACGCCCACGCGCAGCATAGACACACACATAGGGATCGGGATTCTGTGCTCAATCTCTCGGGTTCTCGGATTCGAAGACACTCTCGGGGCGCACCCAGCCTCCATAACGTGGAAACTCCAGTAGAAAACCTGGAGATTGAGCTTGATCGGTGCCCAATCATCTCTCTGCAAAATTAATGACCTTAAACAGTACACCCTTACAAAGAATAGGCTACAAGAGCCTCCATGGGTTGTAGTTGTACGATATTTATATCTATATATATATATATATATATATATATATATATATATATATATATATATATATATATATATTTTTTTTCTTTTTTTTTTTTCTGTGCGTTACGACATGAACATCTTTGACAGCGAGTGTGATCTCCTTGACCACATCCCGATTCTCGATTTTCTAGCTTGATACCATGCAGCCGTAGTGAAGTGGGAGAATATAAGCGAGGTTACAAGGAGCTATCTGGTTTTTAAAGGAATACAATCATGGAATCTTAGGAGTTGTTTTAGGACAGTTATAGATTTTTGGGTAATCTGGAAGGCATGGTTATTCCAGCACAGGTTCTGGTCAAATGTTACTCCTAGGTTTTTGACTGTAGGGAAAAATGGGTGGGACGGTGATTGAGGTAAAGTAGAGGAAACTAAGGAAGCAAACTAATGAGATGTCTGGACCCGACGAGGATAGACTTAGTTTTATCTGCATTCAGCTGTAACTCAATTATTTCATAATAAAGAGCATCATATGACCAGAACTAAATAAATATCTCTAACAGCACCACTAGAGGATGAAAATAAATGAGGAATAAAATATTTATATAAATCATCTAATATTGAGTCTCGTATTAAGAAAAGATCCAAAGGATGGCCTCAGAGAAAAGGAATGAAAAAAAAAAAAGACCTGTACCACTTATATGTACTCTTAAAGTACAGAGTAGGGTCATCAATCCTAGAGAGGGAGAGAGAGAAAGAGAGAGAGAGAGAGAGAGAGAGAGAGAGAGAGAGAGAGAGAGAGAGAGAGAGAGAGAGAGAGAGAGAGAGAGAGAGAGAGAGAGAGAGAGAGGGAGTATATACATACCCCGTGTGGGCTAAGGCGCTTGCAATAGGTAATCAAAGTTAAGCAACGCCGAGCGTGGTTAGGACTTGGAAGTGTGACCGTCCACCAGAAAAAGACACGTTGCCCGAGATTCCCCGCCACCTGGTATGTAATGCCCTCAGCCAACTGGAGGCAACTCACAACGACCGGGCGTAGGGCTGATGATCCTACCCCAGTGTACTTAAATCGGTAATCGGGATGTGGTCAAAGATCTTCATAGCTGTAAGGCCAAACGAAAAATAAAATTAAGAATAGTATTAGGAACACTTTTGAAGTTCCTAAAAAGAAATGTGAAAAAGGGAAAGAAGAAACGAATTCTCCTGTATCTAATTGAGACTTATGATTCGCCATTTACAATCTTAAAACCGGCAAACTTCCCTTTTCTTTCATTGGAAGTTTACATAAATGCCTAAAAAATGAACAATGTTCTATGAATGTTCTAGAATCAGTCATCGCGTACTATTCTGATCGCCAGTTTACTAAGGACAGGTTCTAAATGATCTCATAAATGCAGAAATCACGATTCTGATCAATCAGCAAAGTAAAAGATGAGTCACAAAAAAAAAACAAAAAAAAAAAAAACAACAGCATGAAATTTAGGAGTGTCAAACTACTATGAATTTATGATGATGATAGGTTATTACGAATCAAAAGACTATAATACTGATATTTTGGAGTAGAGGAAAAAACAGCTAATAATCATTTATTACTTAAACTTAATAACTTTTACAAATTAAATTTATTTTTTACAGTGATTAATACACTTATAGATATATAGTTGATATATATAGACTGTATCATAGAGCTGATATTGAGAAATGGGAGTGTAATTCAATCCATAGTTAATAGCTCATATCAGTTAATAATCCTGAGATAGAACCTACTAAGGCTAATAATTAATGAGTATCATATTGCTTTCTTGTGAAAATAAGAAAATTTTGCCTATGAATATACCAGTCATATTTCTGATTACAAATAATTTTATCTCAACTACTTAATAAGTAAAAATGATTTTTAGAATTATAATTTGTTACTGGTTAGTAGTTCAAATTAAGAGGGTCATAAAAAAACTGGACAACAGCTGATAAAAACTCTTTGTTCCCCCTTTTACAAGAAATAAGACCCAGAATATCCGAAAAAATATAAGTACGCACTCGATCTTTTCCGAAAGCTTACTGTGGGCTTCCAAATGTAACACGTGCGTATTATAATATATATTACCTTGTTTATGTAATATACTGTCGTAGAAAATATTCTGTGACGAAAAACGCGTAAATTTAATAGGTTGGACGGATAGGAAAAATACTCTTTAATTTTTCACTTTCTATATGGACATACCTTTTTAAACTTTAAGGAGAGAAGTAAGTAAAAGTTGTGTGATGTAATCAACACATCGCATTGTTTTTGTTATTATTAGCTTATATTATTGATTAACAACAAAAGTGAAAAAGGAAATAAGATGTCTTTACATTTTTCGAAACCCACGCGATTAATTTCAATATAAAGTAGCTTTATTGCAAATAATAAATAAATAAAAAAATATAAACATAAAATCGCCTACGAAGGTTTTCTTCATTTTATTTGTTATCTTTTTATTATTTTTTACCTAGCTCGGGCTTATTACAGCGTATGGGGAGTGTCCCACGGGTGGTGGATGTGGGGATGGTCGGTGGAAATTCCTTGAAAGTTCCTTCCGGCTAAGTCCGGTGGACTTGCTGACCAACAATCGAAGGGCCCTCCAGACTTGCTGGAAGCTGTGACATAGGATTGAACAAATATCTTCAGTTCAGCGAACCATCGGGTTGTTTGTTGGCCAGATATGTATTTTTTTTATATTTGTGCATTATATATATATATATATATATATATATATATATATATATATATATATATATATATATATATATATATATATATATATATATATTTGTGTGTGTAATTATTGTAAATAAATCATATATTCTTTAAATCTCTTACGAACAAAAGCCCTTATCTTCAAGTAGATATACTTTATAAAGTTATGTCATTGGAATCCGCAGGGCTTGGCCCATATGTACATTAATATGATATTTACAATTGCCACATTACAATTCCGAGAGTCTCCTATACGAGATTTAAAATTCCCATTCCCATGCAATACATTTCATGAGGCTCAGGTGGGGATCGATCCCATACCGTTACATATCCAAATACAAAAATACGTTACATATCCTTTCATCTTCTGTAACTATTCCATCTTCCTAAAATATTGTATATTTCTAAATTCTAGATACTTTTTCAATTAAAACTAAAAGTTGAGTTATCATCTCTTGTGTCTGTTTTTTTTTTTTTTCAAAAATCCCCTATTATGAACTATTGAACAGTTTTAAATTATTATAATAAAATATTTTTACTAATTAAATAGTTAATTTAGAATTATTTATAACAACAAACAATGACTGCAAATTGTTTATTGCTCATCCTTAAAGTAAATCGATCTTTAACATTCTTAGTATTCTATTGATTTCTAAATATTTTGTGCATCTGCTTATTTCAAATTACTAGGGTGGTCGGATTACTATAACAAGTTGGATTGACATCAATTGTGCAATTATTTTTTTTGTAACGTTAACCGATAACTGAGTAGCTATTTCAATTTGTTTTGAAGAGAAAATGACATTTTTAAAAAAAATGTTTATTCATTTGAAGCAATGGGCTTTCATCTAAGACATTTATAACGCATACTTTATTGATAAACATACCCCCATACCGTACTGAAACGACTAGAAACCGACCGATGTTTTCGACTACTGCAGCACTTACTTGACAAACGCTCTAAACATCCAACTATTTACAAAATACTCATAGATATTACTATAATAAGACCTATTTGGACTTACGGTATCGAGCTTTGGGGCTCTACTAAACCATCAAATTCCTCTTGTATCCAATCCCTACAATCCAAAATCCTTCGTAAAATCCTCAATGCTCCCTACTTTGTCACAAATAAAATCATCCATAACGACCTTAATGTACCACATGTTTCCGATTTAACTCAATCCAGATACCTATCCTTCCATAATAAACTTCTGAACCATCAGAATCCTCTTGTTTCCAACCTTGCTTCCACTCGTATTCCTGATAATCCTCCGAGGCGTCTGAAAAGAAGAAGGCCTCGGGACCTTCTAATATAGAAATATAATGCAATGTATTGTAAAGACCGCCGGTGGTATTCATTTAATTATTTCAAAGGTATAAATAAACAAATATCATAAGTGACCACATCTGGCGCTACCTGAGAGAGGGTAACGACCCACGAGGACAACCTTTTGTAAGTGGTAATAAAAACCCTTAAGAACCACCGACCAAGACCGACAACTGAGTGTTTAAACAGGATCCCGAAAGACCTTTTCACACCTTCCACCAGAAATACGTAAATCTGTACCTGCTGCTTTACCTTGGCCTGGGGGAGAGGGCGTGGTCATCCCTTAGGCTAGGAATATTCAGCCAATCAGGAAGAAGACTACCAAAAGAGAGGGGGATGAAGAAAGGTAGGAAATAGAGGACTACGACTAAGCCACTTCTTTTTGGGGACTCAGCTGAGGAGACTTCAAGCTGGGAAGGAAGCGAGAGGGACTTGATCAGGAGAAGCGCAGAGAGGAAGATCTGGAGTGATAGCTGAGACTCAGGCGAGACGACAGCCGGAGGGAGCAAGATGAACATCAAGCATTCTCCTCCAGTATGATTCTCAACTATTCATTATGTATATAGGTTTAGTTATTATTTTAGATATATAAGTTTATTTTATATATATATTAATATTATATATATATATATATATATATATATATATATATATATATATATACATATATATATATATTATATTAATATATATCAGTTTTGGTTATTTAAATTTCTAAATATAATAGTTAGTAAACCATCTTAGTACTTTTACCATCTACCCTGCATGCCACCAATTAGATATAGAACAAATAGTGAATTTAAAAACATGATACCCTTAGAAAGGAAATCCAATAAAAATTATATGGTTCAATCTAGGATACTACAGTAGGGAGTCTGTGGTATCTTACCTTTTAATACAGAATTAATATATTTTTCGGTAGATCGGTTCCCTTCTGGGACCGATATAAATACCAATATAAGTATTAAATACAAATAAATGCGGTTCCTGGAACCCCTACTCGCCGTAGAAACGCGAGGCCAGGAACATAGCAATAATGGGAGTGCTACCAATGGGTAGTTTCTCTTCATGTTGTACATGTCATGTTACTTATTTCATATTTACTAGTTGTATTTATCATTTAATACAGTTATAAATTTCAATAATAAAAAAAAAAATATATATATATATATATATATATATATATATATATATATATATATATATATATATATATATATATAAATTGATAACCATTATATGGATGTGTTTGTTTATGTATAATTTAACTTTGTGGGACATATATAGAGAATATAAAACATGTCCCTCATGAACTGAATCAACATTTTTGTGAGATTCCTACATACCACTCAGGAGGTTTCATTAAAAAAAATAAGCCTAAGGTAACCGGTGTATAACCGTGTGGTTATGTACAGTCGATTTCTAAAAGCCACAATTTTTAAAAAATATAAATATGGCTAAGTATCCGTCAAATATGACTCACAAATACATTCCAGACCGCATCTGTAGTAATTTTAGAGATTTAATTAGCCAATCAATATTGGTATTGGACAACTTCCCTTAGTTAACTTATTTACGGCAAGATCTAATGAATTTAATTAAAATTTAATATTTTCTATTACTTAATTATTTAAAAAATAAAATATCACATAGCATTAAACATTTTCTTTTTATTTTAACATTTATAATATTGCAGTCTAATTATTCTTATTTATGTTTTATCTCGTTCATTTAGCTCAAAAGATAGCCGTCTATGTCAACCGAAACGTCGGCGTTGATTAAATATTTTTAAAACACATCGAACACCTTCTCTTAGGTATATTATTAATTTTAGAACTATTCGATCATTTAATTTTCCTCCTACATCTAATTAACACAAAACAATATTTATATATATATATATATATATATATAATATATATATATATATATATATATATATATATATATATATAATTATCGTTAAAAGAATACTGACCTAATACCCTGTCAGCCCTCGAGGTGTGGGGCTTGGTGTCCTTGACTTCCAGTGCTGGCGGTCTCTGCGGTCGCTCTCCCTCTACGCTCTCTTCGTTCGAGTTCCAGTAGACCGTCCCGATGCTGGCCAGGCACTTCAACTTCAGGTCTCCCTTTTGGAAGTGCCTCCTATCGACGCGGAACTCCAAGCCGAGAATGGTCTCTTCCAGACCTTCCCGATCGACAACCCTTATCCGTGGTCCTCTCACGTTGGAATGGTTTGCCTGAAAAATATACATAAGTTCAATATTCATCATTGTTTGTCAAACCGTATATACATAATCTATTCCCTTTCTCATCATGAAATTATAAAATAACAAATAAAATCAAAGAGATGGGTGGAAGGGGTGATCAGTCAAAATAAAAAATAGTAAGAAAAAATAATTATATTAACTTTTATTTTTCTCGAAGTTCGGCCCGAAGTTCAGGCCTTCATCAGGGCAATGAGAACACACAAATCGCGTATGTATCATTTCCTCTAATGCTGGTCAATATATTTATTCAATGCAATATAGTAATATCAAGATAGTCTATTCCAAACATAGAGTCATTGCAACTTCATATCACGACTTTTTGGTTTTGTTCTCCCCTTCCTCGCTTGTATGGTATACGGGGGTTTTTCTGGGACAGGAAGTGAGGGCGGGGGATTAATGCCAAAGTTAAAAGACCCCCTGGTACCGGGACGTGAATTTATAATTGTTTTGCCCTATGTATCTTGGTTACCAGATTTCGGGGCAATGAGCGGTACTGTGCACACCTACGTTAGCCCGCTCGGCCACCCCGCCTCTACTTCATATCTACCAACTATTAGAGTAACAATTAAATTAATAATTGATTAGTTTTTCCTTAGTAATGCAGTTCTCCTGTTTTGCACTTCAACAAACACATAACTCTTAACATTTGAAAATCCATTATTGTACTCGCTCAAAACATATATTGTTTGCCACGAAAATATCTTGGTTAGTAGTTCCATCACTCACTGAGAGTATAATTGTTGGAGGTATAGAAGATCTACCTCGATATATTTTTTTATTTACGAAAAATATTAAAAAGTTACTTTGTTGCCGCAGTGCCCAAACTACCATAGCGCTATCCTCTTCCATTTGCCATTTCAATATTCAGATTTTTAGTTTGTTGAAGACTATCATAATTAGAAATAAATAAATTTTTAAAATCTAAACATGTTATAAGTTTCCCATGGCAATTATATCATCTAAGAGGCCTTAGGCAAGAATTGGAGATCATCTTTGAATTATAAAACGGAATAATTTATCGATTTAGAATACATAGTCCAGTTTAGTCTGCGTTGAAATCTTGTAAAACATTTTTTTTTTCTCTCGATCCGTCTTATTTCTAACTATTTTTAAGACCTCATTTTTTTTTCAATGACTTCTATTGAATTTGTTGTATGAATTTGACGATCAAAATTGGCATTCATCACTTCTTCGTGGGATTTTCTTTCTTTTTATGCCTCATTTATCAAAATTAATTGCTTCTCCTTCGGGAAAAGTAATGTATATTATAGGCGCAGATTTCCCATCATGGTTGCGGAGTGTTGATGACCCCAACAGAATAAATTCTTTCGAGTTTATATTATATTATTAAAATAATCAACATAATTATTGTAAAACGAACGATAGAATACTATATATAAAAATATACTTAAGTATATGTTTATATAATATCTTTTTTTCAATTGAATATGTTACAATTTTTTTTTTAAGGTTTTAAGATAGTGAGATGATCTCTTAATTATCCGGTGCTTCAAATTTGCTACAGGGAATGTGTTAACTCTTCAGATAAAAATGGAAGGATGAGCATAAATTAACCATTAAATCGTAGGATATGTTGCTGCATATAATTATCTTTGAATATAAACTAAAATTTCAATAGTAGAAACATTGTGTGAGTTAAAAAACTGGCGTACCTACAGCATCGGTTTAGTCTAGTCGATTATTCCTAGTTTCATAAGTGAGTTTAGTTTACATATTTTATTCATTTATGTATAATTGATTCTTATTGATTTTATATTTGCTTAAAAACTTAACACCCTCTCAAAATTTGAGGTTTCACGTTTTAGGATACGTAGAATTCGAAAAACAAATACAAATTTTTTTGTCCGAAACTACTGGACCGATTTTTTTCGAGTTTTGATATAAAATCAGAACTCACTCTAGGATGATTTTCCTTCATCCACATTACTATCCGGCTTTTCAAAATAGCGGCCGAAAAACCTGCGTTGCTATAGACTGTAGCGCCTAAACGAATGTACCGATTTCAATGAAACTTTGCTAAAGCCATTTTCTCGACGCCCTTTAAATTTATCTATATAACATACTTCAACGAAAAGAAGCTGGAAAAAAAGTTACGAGGGATGGTAAAATTAAATTCCGAATAACTCAAAAAGTATAAACTTTTTTGTAGATATTGTATGGTATATTTTGTAGATATGGTTTTTTGAAAGTTTACGGAATTTCCTAAAAAACAATAAAAAATGCTAGTTAAAATCGGACAATTAGGAGCAAAGATATGGTCTCTGGTTTTTTAAGTATGTTCTACTGCAAATGTTATATCCTTTATTTTGCGTTTTGAATTTTGAATGTGTTACTGAAGTAATGATTTTTTTTTTTTTTTTAGCATATCAATAATGATTAAAAAAAAAGTTTAGTCCAATAATTGGAATCACCTTTTATTTATTTTCTTTGTAATTAGGAAGGTAATGTTACTTTAGATGTATAATTGTTTGGAAATAATAAACCATTGTGAAATAATTTGCAGGGTTTTTTTTTTTTTATTCGAATGGAAAGTGTAATCTGAATTTTTGATACGTAAATATATCCTAATATTTTCTGCAGTGGCGAATGCGGGCCTTTGATAAATTGGAAGTCTTTGTAAAGTAGAGAGAAAAAAAAAAGAGGGAGAACCAAAAAAAGATTTATAGAGAAATATAAATTAGTACGCATAGGTACCGCAGCGGCTATGAATACTGTATCAGCGCTGGCAACAGCTCCCTCGTCTCAGCCTGTTATTTTTAATGCCGACCCATTCCGTATTCACCTGATAATTTACTTTTTACAACATCGGACTAACTGATACGGTTTTAATTGGCCACTGTATAACTGAAATCTGATCTTTTTCATTTTTATATAATGGCGACCATTCCGATGATTAATATTTTCGAAGCTAATCCTCGCTCGAATCAGTTTGTACAAAAGCGAGGCCATGTCCTGTTTATAGTAAGCAGCGCTGAAGACATAACGAGAAACAAAATAAAACTACAGCTACTCAACTATTGAGTTTCTAAATGACTCAGGCCTACCGATAAGTTCTAATAGATGTGTAATGAAGGAGAGCAGAAAGGATAAAATTTTGAGAGACTATCCTCCAAAGAATCACCGAATGTTATAATTTATTTATTCATCATTATAATTTATCAATATCTACAAATTCTCAATAGTGTATATAGGTATACATGTGTTTTTTTCTTAGTTTTAATTTTCTTATTTTTAGATTATTTTATTTTATTTATTGTATATACTTTTTGATTATTTTTTAGTGTTATTTTGCTTCTATTTATTTTATATTTTTTGTACATATAGCGTGAATGTTATCCTACCTCACAATAACTAGTAAAAAATTATTTTCTAGTATTTCGCTTCTATTTATTTTATATTTATTGTACATATAGTGTGAATGTTATCCTACCTCACTATAACTAGTATATACAAAAAATAATTTTCTCTACGTTTTCTTCCTTCACAAATGTTCGCAGAGCTCCTAACGAAGTAGCCAGAATTATAGTCCGTGGTACAGATCTCTTTTTATGAAATTATTAACATCCAGCACAAACTTCGTAAAAAGCTTCATCTCAAACCTTGTCTATTTAATTAGGTAATAAAAGCTCGTAAATACGCATTTTCTTTCTATTTGGATCGTAAGATAATTTGATCGCAAAATCGATAAAAAAAGATGCCTTCAAAAATATTGGGCCATTCGTCCTATATAACCTCGTTATTTTAAAATTTTGAGTGATGTAGATCACGTCAAACGGCTCAATATTTTTGAAGGCATCATTTTTCTCGATTTTGCGATCAAATTATCTTACGATCCAAATAGAACGAAAATGCGTATTTACGAGCTTTTATTACCTAATTAAATAGATAAAGTTTGAGATGAAGCTTTTTACGATGTTTGTGCTGGATGTTAATGGTTTCATAAAAAGAGATCTGTACCATGGACTATAATTCTGGCTACTGCGTTAGGAGCTCTGCGAACATTTGTGAAGAAAGAAAACGTGGAGAAAATTATTTTTTTTTATACTAGTTATAAAAAGCAAATGGGTATTTACGAGTTTTTATTACCTGATAAAATAGACAAAGTTTGCCCTCCTCCAGATTGAAAACGCCCAAATTTCGAGAATTTTCGTTAATAATATATTTTTAGGTTACTATGAGATGAAGCTATTTACGAAGTTTCAGCCAGATGTTAATAATTTTATAAAAAGGGGTCTGTACCACGGACTATTGATACAGGTGATAATAAAGTATTCTCAATGAGTCTGAAATAATAGTTTCTGCTATATCCTTTAGATGGATCCTTTCCATTCCCAGCCCTTCCAAAAACTCAGCAACTGAAAGTGGAATTGTTCCTCTACTCCTTAACCAAATCAGAGATGGGCAAATGCTACTCTAAGTACTGAGTGCCAAGTATTTTAATCAAATACTGACCTTTTCAGAGTATCAAAGAAATGGATGCCTACTTCAGTTGATGTCAAAGGTAGCGATTGAATCCCCAATAGTGATTAAATTTAAATAAAATACTTGGTACTCGGTAGCATTTGCCCATCTCTGAACCAAAGTCACCGAACCGAAAATTCCTTTTCACCAAATTCCTCTCTGTATTTTTTTCAGAAGGTACGAAATGCCTTTTTTATAGATTTCCTCTTCTTCTATTTGTATTTCGAGATCTTGATCCTCATCATTGGTTTCAAATCGAATTGTATAAGTAATTTATTAAATATCATGCGGTACTATGGTGGATGGATTCGACCCAAGATGATTTCCCCATCGTCTCTTATTCAAAAATATTGACTCGACAAAAAAACTAACCAATAACTCATACTTCAGGTGTTGGAGCCCTTCGCACCGGTCAAATGATCCTCAATTCATACTTTCAAATCGATAAGGCGAATTAATATTTTGATATTAGTGAAGGGCCATAATATAATATAGATTGGTATATGTTTTCGATGTTTTAATCCATAAACCACTTATACTCCCTGAGGTCAAATAATATGTTCATTATTACATAAAACTTTTATATTTTCTTAAAAAATGACATAAGACTATCTTTCATAGAAATAGAATTTTACACAGTTTTATAAACGTGAGTCTTTTAGTTGACAATATTAAAAAATATATATGTAATTTCCTTTTCATATATGTAAGTCCAAAGGGAGATATATTTTTTTTTAGGTATATAAGTAAGATTTAATAACAGTATTTTTTCTCCAAATATTTTTTCTTTATTATATTATGACGTTTCAGGATCCGCTTTCTTATCCCTTCTTCAGACTAGAAATTAGAATATTTTTGTTATTTATATTTTGTAGTTTGAAAAAATTATTCTTTGTCGCCTTGATTCTCTCGATATATTTAAATTTATTCCAAATCATCAATTCGGCTTCAGAAAGCATCATTAAACTGTTCAACAATGCCAGCGATTGGTAGATTATATTTCTAATTCTTTAGAATCTAAAAATTATTGCCCTGGAGTTTTTCTTGACATTAGTCAAGCCTTTGATAAAGTTTGGCATGAAGGATTGCTCTCCAAACTTAAAATTTTACTTCCTCCGACCTACTATCTAATATTACTTTCATGTCTAACTGATAGACATTTTGTAGTAAAAGTAGGGACAGAACGTTCTGACATCAAACCTATTAAAGCAGGAGTGCCTCAGGGTAGTGTCCTTGGACCAATATTGTTTAATATATATATGTCTGACCTACCGGAACACAACGACACAATACTGGCTACTTTTGCAGACGATACCGCAGTACTAAGCTCAGATAAAAACCCTGTTCGAGCATCTACCATCCTTCAAAATCATCTGAACGATATTGCAGACTGGGCAACAAGGTGGAAAATTAAGATGAATGAAAAAAAAAAGTGTGCATGTGGTATTCACTCTTAACCATAAACCTTCCCCTGAAATATATTTTAATAACATTCAAATCCCAACATCAGATGTAATTAGGTATTTAGGTTTTTACCTGGACAAAAGACTTACTTGGAAGACTCACATCAGACAAAAACGAATAGAATTAAACAGACGATACGGTCTCTTATCCAGATTACTTGACAGACGTTCAAAATTATCTTTAACTAACAAACTAACCCTTTATAAAGTCTTACTTAAACCTATTTGGACTTACGGCATAGAACTGTGGGGCTCTGCTAAAACTTCCAACATTAAAAAAGTTCAGTCCTTTCAGTCAAAAGTGTTGCGAAGGATAGTTGACGCACCGTTTTATGTCGCAAATGACACACTACATAAAGACTTAAACGTACCTACAATTTTAGATACTGCAAAAGAGAACTACAATAACTTTCACCAAAGACTGACGTACAACATGAATCCTCTGACAGAAATCCTTCATCGTACAAGAAACCCGTACAGCCCACCACGACGATTACGTAGGCGTTGGCCAAGAGACCTGCTGATTTGATTTATATCCTGGACGTGATGGGAAGCTGTGAAGCTGCTAAAAAATTTGCTTATTGCAAAGAAATTTGCAGATTGCTAATTTAATCTAATGTTCCACATTTTTGTTTGGTTAATAAATACATAAATAAATATTTTGACGCTATCAATTATTTTTATTTTATTCAGTTATTTTGTATATAACTTTTAACAACAATAACAGAAATTGGCAATCTTACCAGTATCTCATCCTAATATCATCTTATTATATTAAGATGAGATACTGGTAAGATTGGCAATTTCTGTTATTACTGTTAAAAGTTATACATAAAATATTTTATGATTGTATAAAAATATAAACAACAAAAATATTCTAATTTCTAGTCTGAAGATTGGATAAGAAAGAGGATCCGGAAGGTCATAATAAAATAAAGAAAAATTATTTGGAGAAAAAATACTGTTAGTAAATCTTACTTCTGTAAGATATGTAATCTTTATTATGTATCGAGAATGCTGATATTTGAATTGAAATATTGTATATTCCATGAAATAAATATAAATATAGTTGGTCTAGACCAATGATAGTATTGCCACCATAGAGTATTGCATGTAAACTTCGGATAGGGCAATGACAGAGCCCAGACACCGTTAGGCTAGATAAGCATCTCGCCGACAAAGCTCTTAATGATAATAAGGGATAATAAACGTGAAACTTTGTCTATTTAAAAGATCAAAATAATGAGTAGAAACACAATTCGAAGCATACAAGTGTGCCATAGTCCCATCTTGGAATAAATCTTGGTTAATTGAAGTCAATTAAAAGTGGAGTCTAACAAAGAAGAAACAACTGAAAGGTATAGGAAGCGGTCAATAAGGTTCATCAGGGCCCCCATAGACCCCAAGAAGAAGCTGAAGACTTTATCATACAACCTACTAAGAGATCATATTCATTCAGAAATACTCACCAGTATATTCTACTCATCAGTAAATCAGTATTGATAATCTATAAAATATTAAGGTAACTAATCATGTTCACATCAACATCCTCAATGAAATATTCTCAAATTAGATGTGCTATCCAGGTAGTAAATTGTTATAGCGATCACATTGAAGAGGATATTTGATTGTAACTATGTTTTTTTTTTAAATGGAGATTATACCTGCATAACTGAACTTTTTTTAAATTTTAAAAGTGTTAAATAGAAAAAAAGAAGACCCTAGAGATTCTAAATGTTCTATGAAGAAGTTTATAACTTTAATAATTACGTCAGCATAGGTTAAAAATGACAAACATTTGCTTAGCTATTTCCATTTCAGGTCCTTACCCTATTTTAGTAAATCAATTTATATTTCTTTCTAGGCTTATTTATATTTTTGTCTAGGCAAGCTTTCATTAAAAAAACTTTGTGTTTTTGACTTTATTTTGTACAGACAAATGAATCAATAATGAATAAATATGCGAGGGTACATTTTTAAAAATAGGTAATTTTATTTCTGGAATCAATATAAATATATAAATAAAATATAAAAAACACAAATCAATGTTCTCTTTCTCGTACCCCTCCCTCTCCACAAGCCGTTGAAAAGCTAATAGCCAGAAATGTAGCATCTTAAAGATATCTTTTAAGCACCTTAAGTTACTATCTATAAAATTTAAAAATACTTTAACTAATTATAAATGAACTTATACTTAATATAGAGATGTGATCAAGTTACCATGATCCCGTTGATGTACCATTGGAGCTGGGCTGCTGGTTTGGATGGTCCGGAAGAACAGTTGACTCGGACCAAATCCCCGATCTGGTACCTCGGCTTACCTCCCTCTATCTGGGGTCCTCTCTCTGGAAGCGCTGCCAGAAGATCATATTTGTTAGTATATGATAATATTTAGTACTCAAATTAACAAGGATTAATGTTAGTTAAAATAAAAAAATAATGTTAGACAATGATTGATCGCCTCGCATTGATGCATTGAGCCTCTCCAGCAAATTGGGTTGTTTCATATATAAGTTTTCACAGGAAATGTTATTTAGTAAAATACATTTATGAAAATAAAAAAATAAAAAAAATATTTTCCATACATTTTCTCCAACGTGTTATCAACTTTTTGATCACTGAAGTTAAAACTTGAGGTTTTTTTTTAAAAGAAATTAAATCACAAAATGCGTTTTTGATTTAAGGAAGTTGTCCCAATTTCTGAACAGACAGAAGTCTGTTGGAGATAAGACTGGCGAATAACGTGAGTGTGGAAGGATTTTGTAACACAGCTACCTTTAGTATTCCTCACTGTATGTCGCGAAACATGAAGTCTTGCATTGTCGTGTTTACTAAAAGTGCAATAAATTGGAATTATAGTAAATATTATTAAAAAAACATAGAATTAATAACGGCTTATTATAATCTGTAAACTTAAACGCCTATTAATTCTACTTTGAATTTCTGAAATAATAACATTGTACATTTCATATGAAATTACCTAGTATATAAATTAAAACTTTAATAGGGTAATATTTTTGATAAAGGGTTTTCGGATATTTCTTTGAGTACGGAAATCCCGAAAAATCTAATATTACAGGAAACTGCAGAACCATCCGAACCCTCTCGTTTTAAACCTTGCTTCCTCCTCGATCCCTGATAACCCTCCGACGCGTCTGAAAAGAAGGTGGCCTCGTGATACTCTTGTGTAAATTTATTATTTGAGTGCTGCCAATGGGTAGTTTCTCAACAAGAGATTTCATGTTATTATATTACTGAGTGCACATTTACTAGTGGTATTTTTTTTTATAATACAGTTGTAAATATCAATGAATAATAAAAAATAAAAAAAACATATTACGGGTGTAAAATTCTATGATAAAGCCAGTTCACCATATGGCAGTGAGACCTGGACATTTACCATCACCATTGGAAAAAGTATTGAAAGATGTGAGAGAAAAATCCTCCGCATGATGACAGGAGTGATCTGGGACCAGAATATGAAAATCTCAAATGATATTGATTCAATGAAAATCTCATGATATGAAGGCACGGGGGATAAGATGGGCATGCGGGGCATTTAGCAATCCATCTGGAGGCGTCAACATTGCAATGAATACCTCAATAGAATACCAAAGACAACGTGAAATGTCAAAAAGAAGACGGATAGACAGAATAAACTAAGATGCAATAGAGCTAGCTGCATTTATGTAACTGGAAATAAATAGCTCAAGAAAGACTACGAGTTGTCTTGTTAAGACAGCAAAAGATCTAAAAGGTGTGCACATCAGCAAAAAAAATATCATTAGCTGCCCCTTGATCAGTTTCCCTATGAACTCTAGATCACCCCCGAAAGTTAATCATCTGATTTTTACTCTCACATTTTCCACTTATCCTTGGAGCAGACTTATTGGAATATTCTCATAATTTTATTCAACGATATATTCAATGAAATAAGTGAAAGCCGTCTTCTTGTCTTAACGTTGTTTTAATTTCGAACGATTCGCTAATTTCACCCCTGAATTTAATCTAATACAACCTTTCAATTAAAGTTATTTCAAATAAATACATAGATTTGTTGACTAAAAATATATTATACTTTAGGGGTGTAAGGGACATTGATAATGAAATAGAATAAATCAAAAGAATATAATGCTTATACTAAGCAATAAATTATGATAATAATGTGATAAATACATAATAAATGATAACTAGTGTGACAAAAAATTAAAATAAAAGTAAAATAGGAAATGGAGATCCATTTAAAATGTTAGAATACAAAATAATATTAATAATAATAATAATAATGATAATAAAATATAAAGCAAAACAGTAAAAGTGGTGGTATGTTTGAAAGATGAGTGACATTCAGTTTAAGTAGTGGATGATTAGTTTACACTACATCCAAACTTCAAAATGGTTCGACTACAATACTACTATGAAGATGGTTAGCCTAATAAATCTTATTCTTTTTATTTTAAGATATATGTTTTATTATTTTTATTTATTTATTCAGTGATATAACGTCTTACAGACAATAATTATAGTGAGATAAGAGCGCATTCACACAGAAAACGTATATACAGAAAACGTAAAATAAACATAAATAACAACTAAATAATAATCAAAAAGTATATACAGTAAAAAATAAAATAACTTAAATATAGGTAAATATCTGATATTACTTTGCTATGATTTTCAGATTTGAACCACCATTTAGCTATAGATTCAACTGTATATTGACAAATATTTTATATTTTTTCAATAAAGTTCCATGTTATTTCGTTTTGCCTTTGCTTTTCCCGGATTTCTAGATTAATCCCGGATATATACCAATCGATTTCGTTTTTTGCGCAAAAAAAAAAATTGTACGCTTTAGACCACACGATAGAAGTAAAACATCAACAAGGGGAGATTAATAACATGAAGTATAAATTATAAATAATAGTTAATTATAAAGAGGGTGAAATCCTTAACATTTTCCTTGCTTACAGTACGCAGGTCCGAATTTTGGTTTCTGGGATATTTTAATCCATATCTTAAATATGATCAGAGTTGGGCATTTACTCGAGTAAATGTCGAGCAGTGACGTCACGAGTGATCACTCTTGGAAGCTTAGCCATGAGTAATTTTCAAAATTACTCATGAAATATTTTTCCTTCATGAGTAAATCACTCGTGAAAAATGTTATCCCCATGAGTAAATTACTCATGAAAAATTTTAACGCCATGAGTAATTTTGAAAAAAAAAAATGTTTTTATTTTATTTAACCTAATTTTTTTTTCACCTTTCCGATTTATTCGATATCGGGGTCGCCGTATATGTTTTGGGGGGCGCTTTTTATGGAAATGTTATCCAATTTGAGATTGGGCCCCCGGGCCTCGACTTTTTTTAACTTTTGGGATTAAATCGATATCAGGGTCGACTTATAGGTTTTGGGGGGCGCTTTTTATGGAAATGTTATCCAATTTGAGATTGGGCCCCCAGGCCTCGACTTTTCTTAACTTTTGGGATTAAATCGATATCAGGGTCGACTTATAGGTTTTGGGGGGCGCTTGTTATGAAAATGATATCCAATTTGAGATTGGGCACCCCGGGCCTCGATTTTTTTTACCTTTTCGGATTAAATCGATATCAGGGTCGACTTATAGGTTTTGGGGGGCGCTTTTTATGAAAATGATATCCAATTTGAGATTGGGCACCCCGGGCCTCGATTTTTTTTACCTTTTCGGATTAAATCGATATCAGGGTGGACTTATAGGTTTTGGGGGGCGCTTTTTATGAAAATGACATCCGAATTAAGATTGGGACCCCCGGGCCTCAACCTTTTTTAATAAGTCAAGGCCCGGGGGACCCAATATCAATTTGGATATCATTTTCATAAAAAGTGCCCTCCAAAAACTTTAAGACGACCCTAATATCGATTTAATCTGAAAAGTTTTAAAAAGTCGAGGCCGGGTGGGCCCAATCTCCTATTGGATATCATTTTCATAAAAAGCGCTCCCCAAAACCTATAAGTCGACCCTGATATCGATTTAATTCCAAAAGTTAAAAAAAGTCGAGGCCCGGGGGCCTCAATCTCAAATTGGATATCATTTTCATAAAAAGCGCCCCCCAAAACCTATAAGTCGACCCTGATATTTATGTAATCCGAAAAGTTAAAAAAAGTCGAGGCCCGGGGGGCCCAATATCAAATTGGATATCATTTTCATAAAAAGCGCCCCCCAAAACCTATAAGTCGACCCTGATATCGATTTAATCTGAAAAGTTAAAAAAAGTCGAGGCCCGGGGGGCCCAATCCCAAATTCGATATCATTTTCATAAAAAGCGCCCCAAAACCTATAAGTCGACCCTGATATCGATTTAATCCGAAAAGTTAAAAAAAGTCGAGGCCCGGGGGGCCCAATCTCAAATTGGATATCGTTTTCATAAAAAGCGCCCCCAAAACCTATAAGTCGACCCTGATATCGATTTAATCCGAAAAGTTAAAAAAAGTCGAGGCCCGGGGGGCCCAATCTCAAATTGGATATCATTTTCATAAAAAGCGCCCCCAAAACCTATAAGTCGACCCTGATATTGATTTAATCTGAAAAGTTAAAAAAAGTCGAGGCCCGGGGGGCCCAATCCCAAATTCGATATCATTTTCATAAAAAGCGCCCTAAAGCCTTAAGTCGACCCTGATATTGATTTAATCCGAAAAGTTAAAAAAAGTCGAGGCCGGGGGGCCCAATCTCAAATTGGATATCGTTTTCATAAAAAGCGCTCCCCAAAACCTATAAGTCGACTCTGATATTGATTTAATCCGAAAAGTTAAAAAAGTCGAGGCCCGGGGGCCCAATCTCAAATTGGATATCATTTTCATAAAAAGCGCCCCCAAAACCTATAAGTCGACCCTGATATTATTTAATCTGAAAAGTTAAAAAAAGTCGAGGCCCGGGGGGCCCAATCCCAAAGTCGATATCATTTTCATAAAAAGCGCCCTAAAGCCTTAAGTCGACCCTGATATTGATTTAATCCGAAAAGTTAAAAAAAGTCGAGGCCCGGGGGGCCCAATCTCAAATTGGATATCGTTTTCATAAAAAGCGCTCCCCAAAACCTATAAGTTGACTCTGATATTGATTTAATCCGAAAAGTTAAAAAAAGTCGAGGCCCGGGGGGCCCAATATCAAATTGGATATCATTTTCATAAAAAGCGCCCCCCAAAACCTATAAGTCGACCCTGATATTTATTTAATCTGAAAAGTTAAAAAAAGTCGAGGCCCGGGGGGCCCAATCCCAAATTCGATATCATTTTCATAAAAAGCGCCCTAAAGCCTATAAGTCGACCCTGATATTGATTTAATCCGAAAAGTTAAAAAAAGTCGAGGCCCGGGGG